CCGGTAAGAACAATGGTGCATAATGAAATGAAAGATGCCCCCAAAAGCGGGAAAGGAATGAAAAACTTTCAACCGCCCAGCAGCACTATGCAAGAGTGGAAGACAACAAATCACAGCTGTGGGATTGTGCGCCATGATCAGTGCGCCGCCCTGGCAGCCAGTTGCGGCAACACAAAACATCACACCCAGAAACACAAGGTTCACGAAGTGTATACCAAAACTTTTACCAAAAAGATAAACAACGAAACCGCTGAACCGTGTAAAATAACGGGTAATAAATGGACGATGAACCACACAAAAATAGTCGTAATTTTTTTTCCCCAGTACAAAACATACAAGCAAAAGATGGATGCGTCCGACAAAAAAGGCAATATCTGATATTAATGGCAATATTAATGCAGAAATGGTAGGAGAGGAATTCGAAAACCCCCTCCCCTGAAGCAACAACCTCTGCCCAGAAGGCAGAAGGGCCCAAGCAAGGGCAAAAGGAGCCCAAGCACTTCAAGAGGACTCCCCCCGAGCACCGGAAACCTCCAACACAGGCACAGGGGCAGAGCCCGTTTCCACACCCACCACCCCTGATGAAAAGGCGGCATCCAGGGGAAAAGCTTCCAAGAAGGGAATCTACTGGGTTCACCCAGAACCCTCGGTGGGAAAATCGGGCTCAACCACCTCCGTGCCCGAATCGGAAGGGGCATCCCCCATAGTTACCCGAACCTCATCCCGAGCTTCGCCCCGACTCTGAAACCCTCAGACATCTGGGAGCCGGAAGCAGGAGGGAAGGAGCAGGTCGAATCACGCCCACAAACTGGGAAGGAATTTACGGAAATTCGCCCACGAATACGGAACCAAGGTCGAAGCGACCAATGCCCCCAAATCCTGGTCCCTAAAGCATAAGCAAGGCAGCTCTGGGGCCTCCAACCGGGCAACCAACCTGGCCCGTTGCAATAAGGAGAATAGACCATGCAAAGCAGCCGCTGCCCGATCCCTGAGATCAACAGACAGGGAATGAGGAATTTGAAAAACAAGCGGGGAACAAGTCCTGCAAGACTGGGTCGGTGGAGCCCCTGACCCAACAGGCAGCATGACGGAGGCAGACCGAATGATCGTCTCCCTGAGGCAGGGGGCGACAAACAGCCTTCGACTTTGTGCAGGGCGAGAGAGGATTCAGAAGTATCCATGGTACCACCGAGCCCACAGGGGTTGTCATGGGCCCGTAGGGTGAATAAGCCATACAGGAAGACCAGGCACTGGGGCCAGCTAAGCCGATAAAACCTTGTCAGATAGCAGGAAAACTGACCACCAGTAGCAGCAGTAAGACTTCGGGGGCAACAGAGGAGGACCACCAACACAACCTAGGCTAGCCTTTTAAAAAGCAAGGCAGACCTCCTCCGTCTACAACAAGCAAAAACGCCAGAAAAGAGAAACAAAACCCCCGAAGACACACAGCATATTAAACTGGCAGTCAGAGAGAAACATCGGCCGCTGCGTTGAAGTGAAGTGAGCTGCGCCAGCCTCAGTGCGCCCCTTCCAGCCAATAACACTCCGCTACCCGGGGCACGACGACCCCTGACATAGCCCAAGGGCGAAGACAACGTTAAGCAACGAAGTCTGCAAACGGGGAGTGATTCCTGAACGCCTCAGGGAAGATAACCCTGACACTCAAGGGCCGTACTTAAGGAGCACCTAGGGAAGGTCACCCTAGGCACATGCTGCTCCTGTACACTAAGACACCTGGCCACCACACCAACACACAACTGGAACAGCCACACAGGGCAAAAACCCAGAACAGGAACTTGAGACCAGAAGTGATCGATCTGACTCCCAGCATATCAGTTTAAAAACTGGGGTGGTGGGCTGCTGGCTCCGGTTAGCCGACTTCCCCACCACCCTTCCTGTAAAGTGTTTGTAAAGTGCTTGAACGTATTGTTCTTAACAGACTCATGTATCGTATACAGGGGCACCTGTCACCCCAACTGTTTGGATTTATGCCTGGGCTCAGTACACAACACTGTTTTGCTGAGTACTTCGCACATATTGAAGCTTCCCTCAAACAGTCTTAATCGACCTAGCAGCAGCTTTTGATACAGCAAACAGAAATCATACTGGAACAGCTTGCCGAGCTGGGAATACAAGGAAAATTACTGAAATGGATAAAGGGCGATTCGTCTAATCGAACAGCATATGTTTTGTTTAATGGTGTTAAAAGCACAGAGAGCAAACACTTTGAACTGGGAACTCCACAAGGAGGGGTCCTCAGCCCCTTGTTGTTCAACGTTCTGATGCATAAACTTATTAAAGATCTACTAATAATGAAGACTGTCATTTGTTACGCTGATGATATATGTTTACAGGCTGCCTCCGAGCCTAGAATGCAAGTTCTGCTCGATGCTTTTGCTACTAGAGCTGAGGAATGTGGCCTCCTTATCTCTGTACAGAAAACTCGTGCCCTCATTCCATGTGGAATTCCACCACCCAATTATCATATAGATGGGCGAGCACTAGAGAACTGCGAGTCTTACAGATACCTTGGTGTCCCCATTAATGACTCTGGGTACCTTTCTTCTCTCAAGAGGAGACTGTGGGAGAGATTAAAGCCCTTGCGGGTCCTTGTTGGTGTCAATCATGGAATCAACGTGAGACTTGCTAGAATGTTTTATGTATCATTTATACGCTCTGTGATTGACTACAATGCTCTACATCTCACACTGTATACTGACAAAGAGCTGAAATCTCTTGAAACCTTGCAAAATGAAGCTATGCGTCTCATCCTTGGGGCTCCAAAGTCCATGAGAATACTTAATATGAGAGCAGAGTTAAAATTACCTACCATAAGTGAGAGAATTTTGTTTATTAGCACAGTTTTCGGCGTGAAGGCATTGAGTAGATCTAGACAACACATGAAGTTTCAAGCTAAACTTTCTAATATGCTGCATTCACCTGAGGTCTATAGAAGAAGAATGAAATCTGATTATGTATTTTGGTTCTACAAGGTAGCCAACTCCATCAAAATATTAAATATGTACCCAACTCAATTAATGATTAATCAACTAATTACTCCATGGGATAACTGGGATCTATTAGTTGATTTTGTAAATGCGCCCAAGAAAGATAGTGTGCACTCTACATTATTAAAACAGTTAACACTGAAAAGCATCACTGAAAGTACTCAGAGTATGGGTAACGATGTGTATCAGTGTTATACCGACGGCTCTGTAGAAGAAGGTGGACGATGTACCGGATGTGCATGCAATATATTTGAACAATCTTCTCTCGTACATACAGCAATGAAGCGCGTCAATGACTAGACAAGTACAACTCAAACCGAACTTGCAGGCATATACCTTGCCACTGAATTTTTAAAAGACAAAGGCAGTGGACTTATATACTGTGACTCGCAGAGTGCACTCCTGGCATTGAACGCACATAGTAGTGACACCCAGAAAATAATCAGTGATATTCGAATGAATGTTTTAGCTGCTAAGGAAAACAGATTTGAAATTAAATTCCTATGGATACCATCACATGTTGGCATCTCAAAGCATGACACTGTTGATATGCTTGCAAAGACAGCCTGCAGAAAGCCAGTGATAGAAATTGATATGGGTGTTTCATTAACAGTGACTAAGAGAATACTTAAACAAATATCTAATGAAGATCTCACAGACCTAACAAATTCGCAAAGACCGGAAAGTTGTAGCATTAAATATTATGATATCGTGAGGAGACATTCACATACAGGACTAATAGAACAAGAACCCGGCAATGTGATGTTATAGTGGCCAGAATACGCCTGGGATATAGACGTATCTGGCAGCTTTCTCAAAACCCAAATGTCGAGTACACAATGTGTCAACTTTGTGAAAGACAAAACATGCACTCTTTTGAACATTATATTATAGAATGTCCCATATTGACTGACTTTCGCCCTCGTGGGCTAAGGTATGCTGAACTGTGTAATTACTATATGAGTACTGGAACACTTGATGATATATTGGACTTGTACCCAAGATTAACCATTAACCAAGATTAAAAGAGACAAATGTATGTGAATGCATGTGTGTATATATGTATGTATACATGTATGTATATATGTATGTGTGCGTATATGTGTGTGTGTGTGTATGTATATGTATGTGTATAAAGTATATATGGAAGCTGATCAGAATTACATTTCCCCTTTGTAAATGCACATTAATGACATTATGTAAAAGACACATCGAACACTTTATGTAGGGCATACGTAAATCTGTATATCTATGTATTTACGTATGTAGGTTAGCTTAGCATTTTAAAAGCACCGAATCACCTTCAGTGGTTGATTGTTCAATAAACCCTTGAACTATATGTTTAACACATTGCTAACCCTGTCCATGGAGGACAGAAGAAAATGTATATATGCTGGTAAGAATTGTAAATGTGTGGCCACGTTTGTGGTAGAAAATAATAATAATAAAAAAAAAACCTTCCGGTGGGGGGGAGGGGGTAGTGCTAACGAGCGGGAGTGCTAGTTGCATGAAGTGTTGCTTGTATGTTTGTTTTTCTAGGGGAGTTATTTTCATCTTTTAGGACGTAGATTGCACAGGTTAACCAGTCAGTGGTCTGTTTTGATACGCCTACCTTTCTGGGTCCTTCCCCGGCCAATGGCAAATATGACATACTTTAAATGTAAAGTGCTCATGGCTATTGCTCCCTGCGCCTGTCTGAGGGGGGGGCCAGGTTCTGGCTTGTGGTCCCTGGTAGGTATAAGGACTCATGTGACTGATGGCCAGAAAACTAATATAGCACATATCAGTTCGGATAGCTTCTGGGAGCTGACGGGGCTACCCACAGAAACTGTATCCAATGTAGTTTTCAAGAATTATAAAATGAAAATGTAAATTTAATTATAGTTCTATAGATATCCTTTTCCCACATCACAGAAATACTGTATATGAAAATGCTTTATTTAGTTTTTAATAACATGAAGAGATAACAAGATATTGAGATTTATTTTTTACCTGATTCCAGGTGAGAGAGTCCGCGAGAGCCTTGTATGCCACAGCCACCACCCGTAATCCCTGTCGTGTGTACCACTCCAGCACTGCTCCCATAATGCTTGGTACTAAGAGAACGAAGCAAACATTAAACTGGCAGATTCAAAACATGACAAAACAATTATAAAACTTTGTTATCTTTGTGTGTAAATATCAGTAAATGATGTTGAGGATGGACTGAACGGTTATTGAGGATGAACTGAATTAATGGTGGGATGGACTGAATTGATGGTGAGAGGTTGGCAAAAGCGGATTGTGTTTTGCTTCACTTTGCATCGAAAGAGAAGCAAAGCAGAATCGAAGGCGAAGATCTCAGTTGCATTATATTCTAGCATTTTACACCCTTTTACTCAACATATACTCAAGGCATGCATCCTTGTTGTGTATATTGTATTGCTGTGGAGGGAGTCCGAGGAGAGAGGGAGTACATGGAAAATGAATAATGTATAATAGTGCCAGAATGGGGGCAACACATTAGGATGTGTTTACTCCAGCCACGAGGCCTACCCAGAGTAAGAAACGTCCCTCAGTAATATATTATGGATATATATTGTAATTCGAGAATGTGTGAATCAAGGAATTAATAATAGAATAAGTTAATATCATTGCAAGCCAGAAATTAACCAGAAAACTTATCTCATGGTAATACAGACAGATAATAAGTCAATGTTATAAATCAAGGAACTGGCAACTGGTCACATCCATCCAGCGACCTGAGAGACACAACGGTCAACTGTACATCCCACTGGGACCACCTTCCTGTACCATACGTTGAGTACCTGCACATAAATTGTGAGCATGCAGGCGACGAGTCACAATAACGTGGCTGAAGTATGTTGACCAGACCACACACTAGAAGGTGAAGGGACGACGACTTTTCGGACCGTCCTGGACCATTCTTAAGTCGATTGAGTATGATTCAGGACGGACCGAAACGTCGTCGTCCCTTCATTTTCTAGTGTGTGGTCTGGTCAATTGTGAGCATATAAATAGAAAAATATACATAATATTATAAATATATACATATAATATTATAAAAATACCTGTGTATATATATATATATATATATATATATATATATATATATATATATATATATATATATATATATATATATATATATATATATATATATATATATATATATATACATACATATATATACACTCTAATACATATATTATAAATATACCTGTATACATACAGTATAATATTATAAATAGTAAAATACTAAGATGGCAAGAGACATACGGTGAAGCACAAATAAAATTCAATGCATAAGACAATGCATGTATGTGGCAAGTGTTTTGAAGCATTTTGAAGACGAATTGAAGACGTCAAGTGTTGCATCTGTAACAAGATTTCACCTGAACCGTGCAGAATTATCTTCAAAATGCACAAACAGACAAGGATTATACTGGATAAGAAACAATGACAGGTTAATATGGGAAAACATAATCAAACTGATGAAAGTCATACATGAGGCACACAAATTAACATTCACAGAAAAGCTACAAGCGATATATATATACAGATTGTGAGAAAACCAACATTGAATGTAATGAAACGGCATTTTCTGGATTGAGCCCCGAAGACTCCCTGAAGCTAACGGACTGGTATCCATTATATTTGTCTAGAGCATTAGTTAATTAGAGTTCTGAGTCCTACGAGAACCACAAGCCAGAACCTGGCTCCCTCAGAGGCGATGGGAGCAATGGCTTATGAACACTCCACTTTGTGAGAGTATAGTCATGTCTGTCTTTGACCGAGGGTATTAACCAGAAAGGTAGGAGGACCATTACAAACCCCATCTGCTAAAACATTGCAACCCATGACCGAACAGAGCCCAAGAACTCCCCGAGGAGGAAAGAACAAACAAGCAAACATCCACTCGACCAGCATACCCGCTCATTAGTGGCCCCCCTCACTGGATGAGGGGTTCACTAACCCCTTCCCCCCGCAAACCAAATCCCTGGCGAGCAGATAAGCAGACCAGCTGGGAGCCACAAACCAGCCAGTCATCGAGGTAGACCAACACCTGAACGGCAAACAAAAGAAGACAGGTCACCACGGCCCGGGTAAAATGCATAAAAATGCGAGGTGCCAGATTCAGCCCGAATGGAAGGCCCCACCACGAAACCTATCCATTCCCTGGACCCTGGGTGAATAGGAACGTGCCAATATGCGGCCTTGAGGTCCAGGGACACCATCCAAGCACCTGGATCGAGAAGAAGCCGGACCTGGAACAGAGTGGTCATCCGAAAGGAGGGGCAAGGAATCCAATGATTCAGACAGGACAGGTCCAGAATGAACTGAAGATCCACGCAGTCCTTGTTTCAGAACTGGGAACAAGCGAGAAACCCACTTGAGGGACGAGGATGCTTCGACCACACCCAAGCCCACCCACTCCAAGATGACCCAATAAAGCGATGAGGAGGAAGCATGCTCCAGCAGCCCCAAACCTCCCCGGAAGAGAAGAAGCCTAACGCCACCGAAGGCCAGATGAGACCACCTGAAACACCCACAAATCGTGGGAACAAGCATGGACAAACAGAGCCAGCACCCCCCCCCCCCCCGGCAACCCCCGAGAAGCTGACCTTCGAACATGGCGCCGACCAGATGAAGAAGGCCCCCTGAGGAAACTACGGTGCAGAATCTGGCACCAAGGGCTCATCTAGAGCTACAGACACCTGAGCCTTGGCACGAACCCTTTCGGAAGAGCAAAAACGACCCCCACCTTTCCTCCTGGAGCACCAACAAATCAGAAATAGAGCAACTGAAGGACGTCGCCGTCAAAAACAGTCACAATGGCGGCCGTAAATAACAACGGACAAAATGAAGTCGAAGACTGAAGAGCAAGGACGGCCTGTCGAAATGTGAGGCATGAAACATGGAAATCGCCTCCAATAGGTGCAAACAGCTTTAGCAACGCTGCAAACGGCCGAGCCATCGAGACCAGCTCAGCAGCACTCAACACCTCCACGTCCTCCGAAAGTCAGTCTGAAGACAGCTCAAGAAGACTAAGAAGCACAATACCGAAGCCATTGACACCGAGCATGATGATCCTCACTGACCAAGGCAGCCCAAAGCACAGGGACCTGAGCATGCAACTGCAACAACCCAACCTCACGAGAAAGTGCAGCGACATTGAGGCACTCATTAAGGAACTCAAGAGTTCTAAGAATACCTGTAACACTGAAGAAACATCACACCATTCAAACGTGCAGGTATGACAAAACTCGTGCCAAGCCCCAAGAGCAAAGAAAAGGCAGTCTGCCAGCCAGGAAGACCCAGGAACCTCATAACATATCCAGTATTGGAACGAACCAAATTCAAAAGAGGCTGGGTTCAAAAGAGAGGCAAATTCCGCTATTCTGGTGGATATCCGAGAGGCAAAAAACCTCTGGAAGGACGAATACGAGGAACCCAAAGGAACCCGGAAACAAACCCGGGAGGAGTCGCCCCTAAATCAAATTCGTAAAGGGAAGGGGGGATACGAAAACTTCACACCATGCAACAACAAACCCTGCCTTGAAGGTATCAAAACCCAGGCAGGGTCAGCTCCGAGGCATCTGACCGGGCCACAAACCAGGCACGTTACAACAACAAAAACCTAAATTGCATCGCAGCCGCTGCCTGACCCCTAAATTCCTCTGAAGAAGACCGGGTATGCTGGAGAATGAGCAGGGAACAAGTCCTGCACGACTCCAGGTCGTGGGTGTCACCGACCCAACAAGCAGCATGATGGAAGCAGAACAGATAATCGTCATCCTGAGACAGGGGACTCAGGGCCTCCCCACCCAAGCGGGAGGGGACTCTGAAGACATATCTACAACTGCACCGAACCCAAAAGGGATTACCAGGACCCACAGGAGGATGAATCACAATGGGGAGCCCAGGCACTGGTGTAGCTGAAGCCGGTTAAACCCCCATCTAATACCAGGCAAACGTACCCCAGAACGCCGTGAGCTTCAGGGTCTTCCCAGCCGAGCCCCTTCTTTGCTACCTTTCCCTTTGGGTTCTGCCTTTTCTTCAAGTTTGGAGGACGGCTCTGCCCCGAGGCCTCTGTTTGGGGTTCCCGGAGATTAGCGGGGAAACCCACCAGAGTGCTTGGCCTGTTTGCCCTGGCTTGTGCCTTTGGGCCTTTTGGGCTGGGGTTTTATTTATTTATTTATGTATGAGAGTACAGAGCATTGAAGTTTTACATTCTTGTAAAGCCACGAGCACGCATATCGTTTCTGGCAGATCCTTAATCTAACATATAATTTTAAGAAGGTAATTTCTAGCAAAAATAAAAAAAAATACATGTACATTGTAAGAAAGTATATAAATACATTGTAAGAAAGTATAAAAGTACATTGTAAGAAAGTATAAAAAATACATTGAATAAGAAATTTGACAAAAAAGTAGGTACATAAAAGTAAATTTAAGGGTTATCCACAAGTACATTTTAGCATAATTTGAGGATTATTGCAAGATATAATGTAGCAAACTATGTGTATAATATGATATAAGATAACAGCAATGATTACAATGGTCTTTTGGCCTGTGCCTTTTTTCATCAACTTCGAGGTCAACTCCGGAGCTCACAGTTCCGGCGATGGCGCTGAAACCAATCGTATTGGTGTTTGTCTTTCCATTGGAGACTTTCGGCGCCGTGTAGAGGGGGGAAGGGGGACCTGCTACTTGGTTAACAGCTTCTCCTCCATATCAACCTACCCTGGCTTTGTGCCCTGGAGAGGCCACTCCAGACCGACAACCAGAGCGCAACTCCGTAGTCTCCTGAGACTGATGGATGCCTACTACTACAATGGTAAAGAAGTATGGCATAGGTATGTATACTGGAGGAATTGGGTAGCACTAGATACAGTGTGAGTTTCAAGCACTAGGTAAGAAATTTTATTTGCTTTTTGATTTTTCTTTTTCATCCCATCTTTTCCATCTGCTTTGGTATTCTCACATTTCTTGGCACGATTTAAGCACCCTTGCATCTGGCGCGTCTCCTTTTGGCTGGTGTGTGTGTTGCTGCGGTTTTCGTGGTTTGTTTTGGCGGTCATTTTCCTTTACC